TGAAAAAAAAAATTTAAAAAAAAAATGTGGCTAATAATAGTAACTACCTCCAAGGTGGTTATAGTTAAGTGAAATCATCCATGTAAGGTAAATCATCAAAAATCTTGTTTTATTAGTGCTTAACTTCTTGTTTTAAGATCACCTTTCCCTTAACTGACTGACATATCATGAGTAAGTTGACTTTGGGGTGCCTGGGTGACTTAGTCGACTAAGTGCTGGACTTCAGCTCAGGTCATGATCTAGCGGTTCATGAGTTCGAGCCCCGCGTCGGGCTCTGTGCTGTCAGCTAGGAACCTCCAGCTTGCTTCGGATTCTGTGTCTTCCTCTCTCTCTACCCCTCCCCCACTCACACTCTGTGTGTGTGTCTCTCTCTCTCAAAAGTCAACATTAAAATAAATAAACAAACAAACAAACAAATAAATAAATAAATCGACTTCTAATTGGGTGAGCCCAAGATGGTCTCTTTCTTGCAGATCAAAGTGCATGCCCATGATTTTAATCCAGGTCTTCCTGAGTCCAAAGTTCCTAATCTTTAGCCCACCCGACATTGCCTGCTCTGTATTTTAAGGGATCTCATTTTGCTCCTGATTTTCAGCCGGTGAGCTGAATGGGTGACTTGGTTCACCTCTACATTGCCCCCTCCCCATGCTAGGAAGAGTCCCAGCCCTGGATGGTGGTGGGGGCTGGTGGGGAGGAGGATATCCTCTGGAAACTTCCCTGGAAACTGACAGTGGGGCCCATTCTCAGATGCTAAGACCAAGATCTGTCCTAACGTTCATACAGCTTTCATCCTGGGTCAGGACTGAGGATTGCTGGGCCAGGCAAAACACCCCTAATTTCTTTGCTGCCTCTTTTTAAGTGTTGACTGCACTCTTTTATATCCTCTCCTCCACAGCAAAAACTTTCAGAGCAGAGTGTGGTTCAGCCTTCTGCTATTAAAGAGAGGAGAGGGAGTGAGGCCCAGCACAAGAGGACGTGCCTCAAGTCACACTTTTAAGTCATCAGCAGGGCTAGGCCCCTGCTTCTCTTTCTTTTTGCCCACTCTTGCCTGCAGCCAGTCAGCCTCCCACCCTCTCAGTTGTTGGGAGATGATCTGGTGCGTTTGTGGTGGTGCTGGCTCTGTGCCAAGCACTGGACTAGGCACAAGGCTTGTGCTTCTCAAAGTGTGACCAGCAGCACCTTGGGCCCACTTCAGATGTGGAAGGGATGGGCTATCTTGCTACCATAATTTTTAATGGCTGTGTTTCATCATAAGGATAGCCAATACTATTTTTAAAATGTTTTATTTATTTTTGAGAGCAAGAGAGAGGGCGTGTGCACAAGTCGGGGAGGGGCAGAGAGAGAGGGGCCTAGAGGATCCAGAACAGGCTCTGAGCTTACAGCAGAGAGCCCAATGGGGGGTTGGAACTCATGAGCCATGAGATCATGACCTGAGCCCAAGTTGGATGCTGAACCAACTGAGCCACCCAGGCACCCTGAGGATATCCAATAACTTAACCAGTCCCCTTGGGACACATTTTCAATTTTTTGCTATTATTCTGTATTATAAATACTGTGATGAAGATCCCCGTAGCTATTTTTTTGCAAAGACCCATAATTTACTTATGCTAAATTTTTGAAAATGACATTTCTAGGTCAGAAGGTATATAATGTATGTTTCTAAGGTTCTTGATACATATTGTAAAGTTGTCTGAGAGGGTGTATCAATTTGCCCTCCTGCCCACTGTGTATATACATTTTTTTTTCATCCATTAGGCTTTTTTGTAACAAGTCTAGCTCCCTGCCTTTCCTGCAAGTTTCTTTTGTGACCTGGGGAGGGAAAGAAAGGAGGGGCTGAGTTTTAAGGTCTTTTTTTTTTTTTTTTTGCCTTCCTCTAAGCTTTAGGTTTTAACCCATGCAAGGCGCTTCTTTAAGCACTTTGTAGGAATTAAACCATTTAATTCTCTCCATAATTTTTAAAAACGTTTTAAAAAGTTTATTTATTTTAAGAGAGACAGTGGGGGAGCTGAGCGGGGAAGGGGCAGAGAGAGAGAGAGAGAGAGAGAGAGAGAGAGAGAGAGAGAGACTCTCAAGCAGGTTCTGCAGTGTCAGCACCGAGACTGACTCAGAGCTTGAACTCATGAAACTGTAAGATCATGACCCGAGCCAAAATCAAGAGTCAGATGCTTAACTGACTGAGCCATGCAGGTGCTCCATTAACTTTCTTTTTTTTTTTAAGTAGGCTCCACAGCAATGTGGGGCTCTAACTCCCCACCCTGACATCGACCCTGACATCGAGTTGCCTGTTCTACAGACTGAGCCAGCCAGGCGCCCCCCTCCATAATTTTTAATGTATTATTATTAACCATTCCCATTTTTCACTTTTTAAAAATTGTGGGGGCGCCTGGCTGGCTCATTTGGAAGAGCATGTGACTCTTGATCTCAGGGTTGTGAGTTTGAGCTCCATTCTGGGTGTAGAGATTACTTACATAAATAAATAAAACTTAAAAAATATTGTGGTAAACTGTAACATAAAATTTGCCATTTTTTCTCTGCCTTCATCATGGAGCCTGCTTTGGATCCTCTGTCCACCCCTCTTTCTACCCCTCCTCTGCTCATGTTCTCTCTCAAAAAAAAAAAATAAATAATATTTGCCATTTCAAACATTTTTAAGTGTATAACTCCATGGTGTTAATTACATTTACCATGCTGTATTCACCATCACCACTATTTCCAAAATTTTTTCATTACCCCAAACAGAAACTCTACCTGTTCAGCAATAATTCCCCATTCTTTTCACCTATCCCATATTACTACTTATTTGCAATACAGAAAATGGAGGCACAGGAACGCTAAGTAAAATAACCAATGTTACATGGCTAGTTAAGCATAGAAGCCACCATTCAGACTAGGCAGTCTGGCTCCAGAACTTGCTTTCTAAATCTGGCATAGGTTTTTTTTTTGTTGTTGTTGTTTGGTTTTTTTTTTAAGCCCAAATTTTCTGGTTACAGGTTATTTCTTTCATGTCTTCCCTGCAAAGAATGAAAGACTTTTCTAAAGAATCTTGTATTTTACTCCTAAATTCCTAAACCCAATTTCCTCCAAGAGAACTTTGAAGTTGTATCCATTTGGGCTACAGGTGCGGGATCTAACTACTCCAAAGGGCACATCTGTTTCCTTGTCCTGTGCAGTCTGGTAGGAGCCAGTGGTGGCTTTTAGAGCACCAAACTCTCCATGAAATCCCCAATCCTGGGAGCCCTAAGGACGTTTCTCAAATGGGCTGAGATTGTGCCCAGCCACCAGAGCTCAGTGCTGAGGAGTAGGATTTCTCTCTCTCTTTTTTTTTTTTTAAAAAGAGAGCGAGAGGGGCGCCTGGGTGGCTCAGTTGGTTAAGTGTCTGACTTCAGCTCAGGTCATGATTCTTGAGTTTGAGCCCCACATCGGGCTCTGTGCTGACAGCTCAGAGCCTGGAGGCTGCTTCTTCAGATTCTGTCTCCCTCTCTCTCTGCCCCTCCCCTGCTCATGCTCTGTCTCTCAAAAATAAATAAATGTTTAAAAAAGAATTAAAAAGAAAAAAGAGGGGCGCCTGAGTGGCTCAGTGGTCGAGCGTCCGACTTCGGCTCAAGTCATGATCTCACAGTTCGTGGGTTCGAGTCCCGTATCAGGCTCTGTGCTGACTGCTTGCTCAGAGCCTGGAGACTGCTTCGGATTCTGTGTCTCCTTCTCTCTCTGCCCCTCCCCTTCTCACACTTTGTCTCACTCTGTTTCTCAAAAATAAATAAATGTAAAAAAAAAAAAATTAGAAGAAAAGAGAGGCAGAAAGGCAGAGGGAGAAATAGAATCTCAAGCAGGTTTCACACTCAGCATGGAGCCCGATGCATGACCCAAGCTGAAATCAAGAGTCAATTGCTCAACTGACTGAGCCACCTGGGTGCCCCCCTCCTTCCATTTCTAAAGGAATGGCACCAAAAAGAACATGGCCTTTAGAGTCAACTCTGGAATTGAACCCCAGCCTTTACAATTCTTTCTGAAGCTGAAAAGGCAGGGATAACATGACCTACCTTGCAGGGTTGTTGGGAGGAACAAATGGTAGCCACTGAGGTAGGGCCTCAGTGAGTGTTAAGCTGAGCGCTTGCTCCTTGCTCAAACCTTTATACAGCACCTTGCTGGGGACCAATCACATTGCCTGGTGCTGCTCTTTCTCTGCTGGCTTGGAAACTCAAATTCAGGGATTCTCTCTAAACCCCTACCTGTCCCAAGGGCTGGCTGTGCCAACATTGACAGTCTTTTAAAGGGAGCATGATGCCAGCTCTGCCACTTACTGGCTATGCAGTCTTGGGCAGTTTGACCCATCTCTGCCTCAGTTTCCTCATCTGAAAAGTAGAGGATAATTGGATTCCCCGCTTCATAGCACTGTTGGAAGTATTACACAGATTAAAACATGTAGTGCACTTACAGCTGTGCCTGACACATACTAGAGGCGTTTGCTAGTGTCAACCTGCCCTTTGTTTCTCTACCAAATGCTGCCTTTCACCTGGGGAAATGGAGGAGGCATACATAAAAGCCAATCCATTGGTCTTGGCAGTCTATTTATTCTCCTCGTGCAAGTCTTGGGTAAAAAGAGGTAGTCTCCCTACTTTCCAATTCCCTACCACGAAGACCATGTTTCCAGGAAACCTCCTGGGCCTCTTCTAACCGCTAGATGGCCAAGCTACAGGGTGATTATTTCCTTAGGCAAGCTAACAGCAAACACTTTAGCCCTCTAATATGGTATTTCCTGGGGCTGGAATATCAACAGGAAGTCCTGTGGGGAAGATCTCTGCCAAAACACTCATTCCCAGGAAGGGATTGGTAAACTGACAAATTTGCCCAGCCCTGTACAACATCCTGCAACCTCCACATGCGCCCCTGTGGCAGGCCTCACCACAGGCAGGTCGCTGCTGACCCAGTTCTTTTCTACTGGGTTCTTGAGCCAAGGAGCCCAGATGTGAACCTACGTGAGAAAAACAGACAGACAAAAATTTGCTCTTACAAAAGTTGGGCCATTTATTGGCATTAGGAAAGCATTCCTTTAGGCACGGGTGGGTCCCTGAATACTAATCTCACCCATTTTATGAAAACTTGAGACCAGACTCTCCATCGTCTGTACATAGCTTAATCACAAAACAAGAGCAAGTACTCGAATTAAACAGGTTTAACCAAACTGTCCTGCTACAAGATAATAAAGGGAAAGCTAGGGGGAGGGGAGGGGCTCAAAGTTCCTTCGCACTACAATGTTTCAGGTACATAATCTAACAATTCCGCAGTGCAGCACAAAACCGCTTCCCATTGTCTCTTAAATCAGTAATGTAATTATCAATAGTCCAAGGGCCAAGAAAAGTTTATGGAAAACGGCCGTACCCTTTGGCTCTGTGCGTGACCTGCTGCTGAGGGACAAAGTTCTTAAGAACCAACGACTCGGCCGATACACTCTTGGGGCAAGCGCCCTCACAGAATCTCAAGCATCAGGTCTCAGCTTTCCCATCCTCGAAAGGCAGGGACGATCGGCTAGGCCTCCAGATCGAAGTCATCACGCTCCTCATTGTACTCCAGCACGTGCCGCTTGATCTTGGACGAGTCTACCCAGGTGACAAAGTCCTCCATGCTGCGTGTGACAAGGAAGGCGGGGTCAGTGACCACGTCGGGGCCCACGCGCACGTGGCCCTGTTCCACGAAGGCCACGGCGGCCTGGAGGTGCTGCGCCATGCGCAGCTTCAAGAGCACGGTGGGCAGTCGGCGGCGGCAGAAGGACGAGGCCGTGACGAAGTCGCAGAGCTCGAGCGAGCCGCGCGTGGGCACCAGGCCGAGAGCATACAACTTGTCCAGCAGCGCGGCCGAGGCGCGGACGCGAAACGGGTCGCGCTCGGGTAGGTCGCGCAGGCGCCGCGCCAACTCACGCACAGCCCGGCTCAGCTGGTTGTAGCGCGTGTAGTCCTCCCGCCGCTGCAGCCGATAACGCCGCAACACGCGCAGCTCGTGTAGGTTGTGGTCAGTGACCTCCCAGTTCAGGAAGTCCACCTGCTTCAGCAGCTTCTGCTCGTGGAACTTAAGCTTCCGCACCATGATGGCGGCTCCCGGTGCCGCAAGACCCGAAGCTAAAAGCACAGACAGTGGCCGCGCGGCTTCCGCTTGGGATCCCGAAGTGCAGGCCGCCCTGGGGGCCCTGGGCCAATGAAAGAAAGGCTCAAGGCCACGCCCTTGATTTCCATTGGTCAGAGTGTAGCCACGCCCCATGCATCTATCTCGCGTTTCTTCTTTTCTCGTTGGCTGAAGCCGAGAGGGAGAAGTGCTGAAGAAAGGCCGGAGGTGGGGCAGCGGGCCGGGGGCGACACAGCGAGGTGTTTTGGTTTTGTTTTTTGTTTTAAATTTCCACGAGGTCTTAAGTTACCAGAAATATATCCCCTAGTGCGGTAATCATTTCTTCTCATTCAGGCCGATGCCCTTAGGGACTCTCGGGAGTGTCTGCCCATAGAAGCTGAGGAAGCCAGTCCTGGGGAAGACGGGTGACTGCTGCGCCTGTTTGATGGGGTTTACCGTGCTAATTCATCGTCGGGTTCCTCCCACCTGGTGGGAAGTTTTCCGGATCCGGCGGACGGGAGACCGGCTGGGTAATTGCGGTCGCTCGCTACCGCCAGGTAGCCCCCAGGAGGGCGGGTGGATCCTCCCTGTCAAGTGGGGCTGAATGCAGGCGAACCTATAAAATACTGATTTCCGGGCCGCTTCTTTATACGCGCTGATCGGGATCTATACGGGAGCCTCTTTGAAATATGTATTGTTAGTAGGGATGTCGGGTGGTTCAAAAAACCCAGCAAGTCTGGGAAATTCGGATATTAAGTACAAAACCAACTCCTTAGTTGAGCTCAAAGAATAAGCCTGATAGGGTGGACTTCCGTCACCCTCAGTACTGTTCACCCAGTACTGAGTTTAATAAATTTAACGCTGTTATGGCTAGTTATATCTGTAAGGTACAGTTGAGTGTAGTGCTGCAGGACTAACCCTTTTATTTGCCCAGGCCTTTGACGCCACCTAGCTTCTTCGTTGATTATTTTATTTTGTATAGTTTTCATTGTCCTTTTAATACTTGACATGTGGAAAATAATATATGCAACACGTGTAAGTTACAAACTATAATGAATACTTATGAACCCAATAGCCGGTTTAAGAAAACATCATCAGGACTATTTCATCTACCTATTCCAGCCACTCCTCCAGCCAGAGGTAATGGTATTTATTCTGAATTCTGTGTTTATTTTTGCTTTTTGTTTAAAAAGAAAAAGTAGTTTTATCATTATACATGCATCTCTAAATACATTGAGAACCTTCTTACTCAGAGTGTAGCCAGTGGACTAGCAAAGAGCTTGTTGGACATGCAGTCTCATTCCTGACCTACAGAATCAAAATCTGCATTTAACAAGATCCCCAGGTAATGTGTGTATACACACTGATTTTGCAGATGTGATTAAATTAATGGTTTTGAGATGGTGAGAATATACTCAATTATCTGGATGGGTCCCATGTTATCATAAGGGTCCTTATAAGTGAAAGAGGAAGACTGAAGAGGCAGAGATGGGATGATGAAAGCAGAAGTCTGAGTGATGTGATAGCGGGTTTTAAAGATGAAAGGGAGCCAAGATCAGGGGACTGTGGGCAGCCTCTAGAAGCTGGAAAAGGCAAGGAAACGAATTTTTCCTTAGAGCCTCATGAAGGAACATGGCGCTGCTGACACTTGAGATCCAGTGAGATCCAGTTTGGATTTCTGTAAAGCCATAAGTTTGGGTTGCTTTAAGCCACTAAGTTTGTTGTAAATTGTTACAACTGCAATAGAAAACAAATACAGATTGTTTTTTTTTTTTTCTAATTGATTTGAAGATGTTCTTTATGTGTTATGGATATTAATCCTTAGCCAGTTATATAAGGAACAAATATCTTCTCCCAGTTTGTAGTGTGTCCCCACCCTTTATATTCCCCCAGGCCTCATTCACTTCCATCCTCAATTCTTGCTCAGCATGTCTGCAGTAGGACTCTTGGTTAACTTCCTTCTCCCAGACAATAAACAAAATAAAAAATAAACTATATGTTTTAGCAAGTGATAAGCGCTATGAAACAAAATTGAGCAGGCTGTAGGAGAGCTTGGGGTGATGAAGAGCTGTAATTTTAAATAGGGCATGTCAGGATAGGTCTTACTGAGAAGGTGATATTTTATAGGGATTTAGCCATGTGGATATCTAGTGGAAGAGTATGTCAGAAAGAGGAAACAGGGCAAATGCCTTGAGACAGGCATGTGCCTGACATGTCGGAAGAGGAGTAACAAAGCCATCCTGGCTGGAGCAGAATGGGCTAGGGAGGGGAGGAAAGGGGGTTCAGATAACAGGTTCATAGGCCTTTGCCTAAGTAAGGACTTTGCTTTTTATGTTTGTGAGATGAGGACACTGAATGGTTTTGAGCAGAGGATTGACATATAACATATTTTAAATGGATCACTCTGACTGCCATGTTGATAATAGACTGTCAGGAGGCAGAGGTGGAAACAGAGATTGGTTGGACACTGTTGCAGTGATCTGGGTGAGAAAGATGGCGGTTGGGACCAGGAGAGCAGCAGTGAGATGTTGATGTGAGAGGAGACCCAGGATGTGGAGAGTCAAGGATGGCTCCAATTTTGGCCCGAGAAAGTGGAAGAAACTACTCATTACTTGAGATGGGGAAGGCTGCCAAGTAGAACAGGTTTGGGGGGCAATGTCCAATATTGCTTGGGACATGTTGGGTTGGAGGTGTCTGTTAGACATCCCAGGGATGTCAAGGAGAAAGACATTTGAGTCTGGAATTCTAGAGAAAGGCCTAGGTTGGAGATTAAAAAATTGAGGTGTTATTGGCAGATAGATGGTGTATCAAGCCAGGGCAAGGTCATCAAAGAAATGAAGATGATAGAAAAGACAAGAGGAGCACTTTCTGTAGTCACCCTAGTTTTAAGAATTATTGGAGGGGCGCCTGGGTGGCTCAGGCAGTTGAGCATCTGACTCTTGATTTCCGCTCAGGTCTTGGAGTTCGTGAGTTTGAGCCCCACATTGGGCCCTGTGCTGACAGTGTGGAGCCTGCTTAGGATTCTGTCTCTCCCTCTCTGTCTGCCCCTCCTCTGCTCTCTAAATAAAAAATAAATAAGTAAATAAGAGAATTGTTGGAGAGAGGATAAACCGGTGAGGTAGAAGGAAAACATGGAGAGTATGGTCTCCATAATGCAAGTGAAGAAAGTATATCCAGAGGGAAGGAGTGATCAACCTGGTCCAATGCTACTGAAAGGTTGAGTTAGAGGGGAACTGAGAATAACTATTAGGTCATTGATGACTTTGACCTTGACAAGAATAGTTTCAGTGGAGTGTGAGGGTGAAAGACTGCCTAGAGGGGTTTAAGAAGAGAAAAGGAGGAGAGAAATTATAGGCAGTTAGTACAGATAGCTATTTTGAGGAACTTTGCTCAGGCACGCAAAGAGAAATGGGGCAGTAGCTGGTGGGGGAAGTAGAATTGAGAATCTATTTTTTGAAGATGTGGGTTGACTCTTTCCTTAATATTCACAGCTTGTTGGAGGCCATGCCAGTCTATTCTACCTCCATGAACTCCCAGATTTACTTCTCCCTAGCCCAGCACCCTTGCACTGTCAGGCTCTCGTCATCTCTTGTCTGCTTTGCCACTGTGTAGTCCAATGTACTCCTGCTGCCACCAGCTCAACCTGGAAACCACTGTTGCAGCTCTCTCTTACTGACTCTTTCCTAAAAGGGGAACGTTGGGTGCTTGGAGGGGGAATGGATGCTGCTTGCCGAGCTTGAATCAGGGTCCTGGCAGGAAAGAGAGAACACACTCCAATTAGAATAATGTGAGAACTGAGTAAAGGGACTTTGTCGTAAGGGAGTAGGCAGGGTGTAGGGAAGCCACAAAGTGCAGTTTCCTGAGACTCGTAACTAGGGGTCTGCATTACCCTAGGCTTGAAGGTCACTGGAAGGAAGGGAATGGAAGATACCTATACTGGATGGAAATCTCTGTGAGCATCAAGAGAGTTTCCCCCAAGAACCTGGAAATAAGGGTGGTCCCTGAGAGTTAGAAAAACCCACCCAAAACAGGTGTGGGAGTAAATCCAAGATGGTTGGTCTGTGAATGTGTGACTGAGGTGTTTGGGAACCAACTAAAGACTAGGATCCTAGGTGGATGAGCAGACATCCCATTGATTGTATTAAGGGAGCTAATAAAGGTAAAATGTTTACAATGGTGTCTGGCACTAATGAAGTAGTTGCTGTTTTTAGGGCCAGCTTGAAGAGAGGCTATCTGAACCCAAGAGAGATCACAGAGAATCAGTATCCCAAAAGCAGCTGGGGGAAACATACTTCAGCTCTGGTTGTAGGAGAAACAGGATAACCTGAATCCTTAAGCTCAAGGCTGGCCCTATTGTGGGGGGACAATATCTCAATGTTTCTTGGCTGAAAAACTTGTTACACCATCCCCTCTTCAAGGGGTTTCTAGATTCACTGAGCTAACCTTCTGGTAACAGGGCTTTGTGAGGAGTGGCCCAAATTGCCTTGATCTATTGATGCAAAAATTCAGGTCTACCTGACAGTTGTATTTCTGTGCTGGTAACTATACTTACTGAGGTGAGCATTTGGTTATGTATATAATTGTCAAATCACTTTGTTGTACATCTGAAACTAATATATTGTATGTCAACCAAACTTTAATTACAAATAAAAATTAAAAAAAAAATTAATACCTGCCCTTCTGGGGTTTGTACATAAGCCTTTATTCAGGTCATATGCCAGCCCTGCATAGGGAATTGGATCTACTCACTGCACCAATGAAATTGGGTTTTGGAGCCAGAGGCCTGCAAATCTCACCCCTCAAAATAGCCGAAGGTGCCACATTTAACAGCTCCACCTTATGCCAATTAATCTGCAACAAGTAGGAAGACAGAATGGAAGGTCTAGCTAGAAGGGGTAGGCAAGTTTCCAGGGCACAGCCAGGAAGAGGAGTAGGGGCTGAAGCTTTTGTCTCACCTTAGGTACCTCCTCCTCCAGGAAGCCTTCCTTGATCCTTGCTCCACCCAGGCTGGGGTAGGTGCCCTCCTATGCACATTGCAGGGTACTTGTCACACTGGGTAGGGGAGTTATCTGTTTACTTGTCCCAACATATCTGAGCTTCTGGAATGTAAGGACAATGTCTTATTTGACTTTGGACATATCTGAGCTTCTGGAATGTAAGGACAATGTCTTATTTGACTTTGTATCCAGGAGGCCTGATACAGAACTGATTACTCAGTTAATGTTTTCTTGGATGCATGATTTAATGAACGAGACAGACACAGAATAGACGAATTAAGGACAAGAGGGTGGACTGTAAACCCTAGAGGGGGGACACAACCTACTGCCTCCTTGTGTTGTAATCCCCAGTGCCCAGGACAGTGCCTGTTAGTGCCCAAAGTGTTCTGGATGGGCCAACCAAGGGTCAAATCCCCCTTGCCTCTTCCTGGAAGCCTCCGCGGACCACCCCTCTCTCCTTGCTGCTGATGGCCTATAGGAGAAAATCCAGTCTGCGTAAAGCATCACGGAACTGGGTCTTGCCTAAACTTGTTCCCTGTTGCTACATATGTAGGGTCTTGTCTTTCCCTTTGAAGGAAGTCTCCCTTGTCAGCCCTGTCTGGCTAAGGTAGTAGGACCTGTAGCGGCCAGTATCCCAGGCCTCTAAGGCTTCTTCCCAGAGGACGCCGCTGACTCCGGGGCCCACTCTGGGTCCCCCTCCGGAGAACAATCCCTAGGCTGCCCCAAGGCCCAGTGTCGCCCAGCCTCGCCGGAGTGGGGGTGGGGGAGGCAGCGGAGTGGGAGGAGGCGTCGGCGGCGGGTCTCCCTCCTAGCCCTCTTCCTTAACCCCCAACCCCGGGTGTCGGCTCTGGCGCCCTCCTCGCAAGCCCGCACTTCGCAAACTTTCGGAGTTTTCCTCCAGTTGCGTCACGGAAAAGGCAAGAGGGTGACCGAGCCCAGAAGGCGAGGCGGCGGCGGCGGTGGCGGTGGCGGCGGCGGCGCGGAGCGGAGCTCGAGCCCTTCGGGCTCTAGGTGTTTCCCAGCGAGGGCGGACGGGCGGGGGTCTTGGGGGATCGCGGCCCCCTAGAGCGCTGGTCGCTGTCACCCTCCCACAGCCGGATCTGGGAGCGGGCGAGTGCGGGCGAGCGCCAGAGGGAAAGAAGCGAGGAGTAGGCGGGGGCCCCGGCGCCCGAGCCCCAGGCCGCGGGAGGGCGGAGCCGGGCTGTCCCTGCCCAGCCAGGACGCACGGAAGTGCTGTGGAGTTTGCCCAATTCCCCAGCCTGCTTTTCCTCCTTCCCCCCCTCTCCCCCCCCCCCCCCCCCCCCCCCCCCTCGGCTATTCCCTCCTTTCTCCGGACGCCACCTCCCGGAATCCCTTTTTCTGTTGTTTTGGAGCTAGCTTCTCGCTGGCGGCGCAGAGGGACTGCGAGTGTTGGACGCGGAGGCGGGCTGGGGGCTCAGCCCGCCGCCCACCGGCCGGAGCCCGCGGGGCAGAGCGGAGGACGGACAGCGAGCCGGCCGGGCGCACCATCTGCTCGCCGCAGCGCACTCCCCAAACTCCTGTTGAGTGTGTGCGTGCACGCCAGGGTTGGGGGTCTGTACGACCTGCGCTCCGGGACCGGGTACCGCGGGGATTACCTTTGGACGAGGTCCGTGGACTCAGATCAGGGTCAGCTTCAGGCTCAGAAACTGCTGAGGAAATAGGCAAACAAAAGAGGCCACTCAGCTAGTGGCCAGAAGTCGCCAGAGCGCCTCGTCGCGCCCCCTCCTTCCCTAGGGTGGGGGCCGGCCACTTGGGAGGCGGGGAGAAGGCTCCTGAACCGGCTGGGGGCTGGGGACTGGGGACTGGGTCTGGGGCGGGGGGCCAGGGCCAGAGCCGGGCCAGACCAGGCCAGGCCGCCGGGGTCGACGAGTTGGCGGCCTGTTGTGTAAGCCTCAGTCCTTGTTTTCCCCGGCCTGGCTCGTTGTGAAGCCGGACACATCCACCCTTGGACTAGATTCAAGAGGCTGCTGCTTTTCTCCATGCCCCTCTTGGATTTTCTGGATTTTTGAAAACCCAGTGGCCCAGGAGGAGGAGGAGGAAGGAGGAAGGAGCAGATCTACAGAGGAATGTGAGAGCCTCCCAAGGCCTGAGGAGCCAGAAGGATATGGGAGCCAGAGCTGCCCAGGGTTTCTGGAACGGTGGTTTCTGAGTGATTCTCTTCTATTTTAGAACATTGTTCCAGTGGAAAGTGTCAAGCGAATTCTTGCCCTCTCAGAGCTGATTTCTCCGAGTCACTTGGCTTTTCTTCTGGGAGTGGGAGGAAGGAGAGACTCCCCGATCTGGGGTTGCCAAGGGAAGAGAGGAGGATTATGGACATGATCCCTCCCTGATCACAGGAGCGTGCTGGGAGACCTAATACTAATAGGGCAGTTAATGGGCAATGGGCATTGTTTTGAATAGTGGGAGGCTGGACAGCATCTGTGGGTGCTGAGACCCCAGCTTAGGTTGCTGACAGACTGAGTTGCTGTGACAGGCCTTGAGCTGCCCGTGCATTCTCAGCTCTGGGCAGGACCCTCCCCTCTTCTTTCTCTACCACGGGTCCAGCCATGGCACTGAAAGGCCGAGCCCTCTATGACTTCCGCAGCGAGAACAAAGAGGAAATCAGCATCCAGCAGGATGAGGACCTGGTCATCTTCAGTGAGACCTCGCTGGATGGCTGGCTGCAGGGCCAGAACAGCCGTGGTGAGACAGGGCTCTTCCCTGCCTCTTACGTAGAGATCATCCGTTCTGGTGCCAGCTCCAACCATGCCGACTATTCCAGCAGCCCAGGCTCTCTGGGCACCCAGGTGAGCTTGTATGACAGCTCCAGTGTGGCCAGTCCTTCCAGGAGTGGTGGTGGTGGTGGCTTCCTCTCGCACCAGGGCAGCTTCGAGGAAGACGATGATGATGACTGGGATGACTGGGACGATGGATGCACAGTGGTGGAGGAGCCTCGGGCCGGTGGGCTGGGCACCAACGGGCACCCCCCTCTCAACCTCTCCTACCCTGGTGCCTACCCCAGCCAGCACATGGCCTACCGGCCCAAGCCACCCCTGGAGCGACAGGACAGTCTGGCATCTGCCAAGCGTGGCAGTGTGGTGGGACGTAACCTCAACCGTTTCTCGTGCTTCGTGCGCTCTGGGGTGGAGGCCTTTATCCTGGGTGATGTGCCCATGATGGCCAAGATCGCCGAGACATACTCCATTGAAATGGGCCCTCGTGGCCCCCAGTGGAAGGCCAACCCCCACCCGTTTGCCTGTTCAGTGGAGGACCCCACCAAACAGACCAAATTCAAGGGCATCAAAAGCTACATCTCCTACAAGCTCACACCTACCCACGCTGGCTCACCAGTCTACCGGCGCTACAAACACTTCGACTGGCTCTATAACCGCCTGCTGCACAAGTTCACTGTCATCTCCGTTCCCCACCTGCCAGAGAAGCAGGCCACAGGCCGCTTCGAGGAGGACTTTATTGAGAAGCGGAAGCGTCGGCTCATCCTCTGGATGGACCACATGACAAGCCACCCCGTGCTGTCCCAGTATGAGGGCTTCCAGCATTTCCTCAGCTGCCTGGATGACAAGCAGTGGAAGATGGGCAAACGCAGGGCAGAGAAGGATGAGATGGTGGGTGCCAGCTTCCTGCTCACCTTCCAGATCCCCACAGAGCACCAGGACCTGCAGGATGTGGAGGACCGTGTGGACACCTTCAAGGCCTTCAGCAAGAAGATGGACGACAGTGTCCTGCAGCTCAGCACCGTAGCATCAGAGCTGGTGCGCAAGCACGTGGGGGGCTTCCGCAAGGAATTCCAGAAGCTGGGCAATGCCTTCCAGGCCATCAGTCATGCCTTCCAGTTGGACCCCCCCTTTAGCTCCGAGGCCCTCAACAGTGCTATTTCTCACACGGGCCGTACCTATGAAGCTGTGGGTGAGATGTTTGCTGAGCAGCCCAAGAACGACCTCTTCCAGATGCTTGACACGCTCTCTCTCTACCAGGGCCTGCTCTCCAACTTCCCTGACATCATCCACCTGCAGAAAGGTAAGAGCCAGAGTGGGCAAGAGACCCTTGCTAAGTTTGCGCTCTGCTGGGCACTGGGGATATGAGGATGGCCTAGAGCAATGGAGCAGCCCATCTAGTCTTTCTGTCTCATTCATTCATTCATTCAACAGTGCGTCAAGCATCTGCTGTGTGGCTAGGTGTAAGGAGATATTATTGTTCCTGGTCAGCTCTGGTTGCTGACCTCATGAAGCTCGCTGTTTACCTTTTGTTGTCCATTTGTTTGATCGTGCCTTCATTTTTTCTGTTTCTGTCTCATTTGCTCATCTGTCCATTTATGTGCCGAGCCCATCAAGGTATCAGGCTGAGTCTGGGAACGCGGAGATGACCGAGGCCCAGGCCTTGCCCTTGAGGAGCACACAGGCTTACGGGGGCCACAGACACAGATAACAAGAGCACAGAGTGGGGCCTGCCTTCCCGCTCCTCACAAGTTCCACTCCCTGCCCTTGCGGCTTCAGAGCCTGGTCTCCCCGCTGCATACCCTATCTGTGAGCTCCCTGTCTGTGTGCGGGAGGCCCCCTGTCCCCGCTTTGCAGATGAAGAAGCTGGTGTCCTAGAAGAGTGGTTGCACAGGGAGTCCCTGGCCCAGCTGAGACTGTCCCTTCCTCCTTCGCCTCCCCAAGGACACGTCCCTGTTGGCCAATTCCCAAGCCCAGCTGTGTTTTCAGTTCTCATGGCCCCCCTCTGTGGGGGAGGGACAGGATGGGCCTCTGTCTGTTAATGTTGGGCTGTCAAGGAACTGCCAGGGAAGTGACTCATCTCGGGTCACCTAGGGGCACCCGGGCTGGTCTAGGGGAGGAACAGGGGTCCAGGGCACTACCCACATGGCTCCTCTAACTCCTCCTTCCTGAGCCTGGATTCTCTTGCCTGAGCAGTGAGTTAGGGGCTGACCTGGCAGGTGGCTGAGTCCTGGGGACCACAGGCAGGGCAGATGTCAGGAGAGAGGTGTGGTCCTCCCCGGGGCTGCTTGGTAACTCAGGAAGAACGTCTGCAGGGCGTGGGGCTGGCTCCCTGGCCCCTAGGCCCTGAGGTCAGGCCTGGCTTGGTGCTGAGTTTTCCTCTGGGTGGGGCCAGGAGGCAGACCTCTGGACTGAGCCTGGGGGACAGCAAACACTAAGCTCTGCCTCAGTATCCAGGAGAGTCGGGAGTAAGCCAGCCCTGCTCTACTTTCCCGGGAGATTGACTTCTAGAACTTATCCAGCTCCTGGGCTCCTTTCTCCTCTCACTTTCTCTTCCTGCTTTCCATCTCTGCCCTTTTTCCTCACCTCTACATTCCTATCCTCCTCCCCTCTTCTATCAGCTTCAGGAGACATGTGGGGACTGTGTCCTCCATCTGCTGTGTGTTCCTGGGAAGCGCCTTCCCCTCTCTGGGCCTTAGGTTCCTGATCTAGAAAACAAGGGAGGGTAGATCTAGTGAGCTCTCAGGCCTCCAAGGGGGTGAAGACAGGAGACTTCTGGGGAGGGTCTGGTTGAAAACAGAGTGATGCCTTAGAGCTGAGTCTGAGCTCTAGGGCTGGGACGCGGCTGGCAGGCTGGGGCCCAGTGGGGCAAGTGTTTCCCTGGGCGGAAGTGGAGCCACTCTCGCTGCTGTGCTACGGCCTGGGAAAGCCGGTTCGGCCAGCTCCTCGGATGGCGTGTTTCTGTGTGGGCAGTGGCAGGGGAAAGCAGGGGCACAGTGATTAAATAGCTGCCCCTGTGCAGTTGCTGGGGACCTCGCCCTGGGCAGAGCTGGGGGGAGGAAGGCAATCCCATACCCAGCCAGAGTTCCCAGGCTTGTACTGAAGCAGGAAGAAGTAAATCTGGATGGGCTTTTCTGATTCTGGGGCAGGGAGACAGAGCTGAGAGGGCTTCTACCTGAGGTCTTTCTGAGAGTGTGGGCCCAACAGGCCTCTGGGCTGGTGCATTCAACCTTAGGCAGAGGCTAACCCATCTTCTCTCACCCTGAGGACTCCTCCTCAATAGACCAAGCCCATTGGGCTTACTCTTCCTTCTTCTGGGCTTTGCATTGCTACTCCTAGGCCCATGGTCGGGCAAGTTAGGGAGAGAGGCTTGGAATCTGGCTGAGACAGAATTGGGCAGGTTTGGGGGACCACAGCCTGATGGGGGGAGGAGGGGTTCCATGCTGGCAGTGTGGGTGGAACCCTTTCTCAGAGAAAGGAGCAGGAAAGTTGGGCCTTGGGTCCCTAGAATTCTACCTAGTCTGTCTGGACATCTGAAAGATGGCAAGAGTGTGGCAGAGGCCATGGAAGGAAACTGATGGGAGGCTCAGGTGGAATCAGGAGACCAGGATTTGGACAAATGTTGCCTCTGAGATGACCGTGAGAGCGTTATCTCCCCTCAGTGTCCACCTTAGTAAAATGGGTCATGGAGCCTGATTGGCACTGAGATGAAGCCCACCAGTCTGTCTGCCCACTGGCCCGGGCCCTGGAGCTCAGTCCAGGAGTCTCCTAAGAGGAGTAACCGTATAATTAACCATCTAAGCCAGGGAAGTTTTGGGGATGAAGGGGGCCCTAGTAATAGTTACCCTGGGATCTGGGATAAGGGGAAACAGTGACCGTCCAGGGCCCCTACCTGAGAGCCAGCCAGGGTAGGGCTATGTCCTAAGGCTCAGCACAAGCCAGGGAGGTTACAATAAGGTGGGATGATATGCAGAGCAGGAATTGGGGCCCAGGGGTGTCTGACTGCACAGCCCAGGCTGTTTCCCCTGTGCCTGACAGATGGGGTAAGGAGCTCCCCCAGGGATATGTGCATGAGCCAGAAGGGGAAGGACGAGGGAGGCTTGGGTGCTTTAGCACTGCTAACTCAGCTGGCATCCTTGCTGGGCCGGAAGCAGGCCCAGGGCTGCAGAACGTACGTGGAGGGACCATGGGACTCACAGGTTGGCCAAGGTAGAATGTCCCCTGCAGGACCAAGTGCTTGTCTGGGGGAGGAGTGGGTCCGAACCCTGTGTTCTGGGCCATCACCTAACCTTCTCTCTCCCTCCCCTCCTAGGCTTCCATAAATAAAGAGAATCATATCGCTACAAGCCCCCACCAGCTGATTGTCGCTGTCACTGAGAAGCAGTCCACACACGCTTGCGCATACTCTCTTGAGCTCTTATTCTGTCAGGTGCCATCCTAAGTGCTTTATACAGACGAGTTCAAGTTAAACCTCAACTATGCTATAGGGCAGGCACCATTATCCCATTTTTCCAAGAGTACTATACCACCAAGGGCAGTTGTCAGCAGCATCAGATCTGGTCTGGCCTGTCCCTTTTGACACCTGAGAAACCTCCAGCCCAGCAAGAGCAGTGGCTTGCTGGAGGTGACACAGCTGAGACTAGGACTCAGACCTCTTGTCCCTGACCTGGGTGGGGGCCGGGTAATTACCTCCGAGAGGTGGGGACAACATGGATTAAGGTAGGATCTTAGGAAATATGTCTGGGACCCTGGGGCTCTGAAGCTTCAGCCTCCTTTCCTGGTTCATAGGATCCGGCCTATAGGACACCTGCCAGGGCAGGAGGCTCCCCTGGGTTGAGTCCTACATGGAATGTAGCAGGGATGCTAGACAGGCCTGAGCCCTGACTCCCAGCCTGTCTCTGGGGTACGTTAGTGTTAGCTGGTCCCGGCCCCAGATCTGAGTCACAGGGTGGAGAGGTGACAGAGAGCAGGGTGGGACCTCTGCCCCCCCCCCCCCCCAGGCAGCTTTTGTCCCCCATCTTTGGCTCCCTGCCTGTCTGTGGATACCTAGCAGTTGCAGTAGATTTGTTTCTATTATTTGGGCCTCTGTCTCCTCATCAACAAAAGGAGCCTTTCTTTCCTCCAAGGCCAGAAAAGCCTTCTTGAATACAGGTCCACCCTTAGTGCACTGAGATTTTTTCAGGCAGGTGGAATCCAGGCTAGTTAGTGTCTCCTTTTCAGGTAGGATCCTTGTCGTTGTCTGGGGGCCCCACACAAATGGGGTGGCTGGGTATGAACCCTCTGCAGTAGAAGCAGTATCCACTGAGGAGGGGTATGTCTGGGCCAGGCATCCCCCGTGTGAGGGGCATGAAGGAGGCTGGGAGCCCCTAGGCAAGTCCTCCTGTCAGGGCCTCGGTTTCCTCTGTACAGTAGTGGGGTAGGGGTGGGGGTGGAGGGTGGGCAGCTGGCATCTAGGACCTCTTTAGCTCTGAAGTCTCTTATCGGGTCCTCATCCTGGGCCTTGGGCTGAGCCCTCTTCTGCTGCCCAGGTCTGGCCAGCGGGGCTGGAACAGGAGGCGGGAGGTGGCTCAAGGAAGGTGGCAGAAGGACTGAGTGGGTTGGGAACTGGTGACTGCAGAGTTCTTCTGAGTGCTGTGTGAGCGGCCCTGGAGATTCTCCAGACTTGCGACTGTCTACCCCAGATGCCATTATTAGCCAGTTAGCCGTGCACTTGCTAACTAATATGCAACTGCTTGCATAACTGCTTGTTAACTACTCCTTCTAAATCCTTCTGGAGTTATTTCCAGCATGTAGAGCCCTGGGCCTGACATACAGTGAATGACCAAAAAAAGGAATCTTGAATGCATCGGACATCTTGAGTGAGAGTAAAAAGAGTACATCTTCAAGGCCCCCGGCATGCTGTTGGTGTGCCCTGGATGCTTTTGAAGTGCCCGGGGGTGTTCTCTCCTCTGTGCCAACCCTGCCCACAGCCTTACTCTTCTGCGCACAGTGGATTCCCTGCAGCCCCGCGAGGAGTTCGTGCCAGGCACAGGCGAACTGCCTCCTCCTCCCGGCACCTGTCCCCACTGCCTTTGATGCACAATTAGCCAAGTGCCTGTTAATTCAGAGCTGAAATTCATTCACCAACTGCTTGCTGATTCATTCAGATCTTCTAAATTGGATCCCCTGCCCAGGTTCATCCCCCGTCCCCCATCTGTCACCTGGTTATGACTAGGGCTTCCTCTGGTCCCTTTAGGCTGGTGTGGGGAGGGGCTGGGCCCGTTTGTGGGGAGACGCACACAAAAGAAAACTCCAGGTGGCCTGTGAGGTGCTGTTTTAGAGTCAATAGTGTGATGGGGGTGGGGAGAAGCCTGGAGAGGGGTCCAGAGGCATTCTGCCTTGGTACTGGGGGAGGCTCTGGTGTGGAGGTGGCCCCTGAGCCTGTTTGGGAGCCTTAAATTGTGTGTAGAGATCTAGCAGGTGGAGGTGCAAAGGTAGGAAAGAGCAGGGTGAGTTTGATGAACATGGGGCCAATTCCCAGAGGACCTCACAGCTAGGAGAATAGGCATGGGCTTTGATCTGTAAGCAGTGGGGGCCGGGGGGGGGGGTTCTGGAGCTTTGAGTGCCCAGCTTGGCTGCTCTTCAGGTACCACAGAGAACCTCTCAGAGTCTGGGCCTGAGGTGGGAGCCCCTTAGGAGCCCCTTATAGTAGTTCAGTGAGGAACAGGTTGAATCAGCTCAGCAGACATGTACCAAGTGGGCTCTCCCGTGGGCTAGGCTTTGTCCTGGGTGCCGGAGACATTGAGCTCACAGACCAGAGGAAGGCAGGCGGAGCAGCCACAGGGTGGTAAGAGCGGGGCAGATGAAAGCCCTGGGAATGCTGGGAAGTACCTAATGTGGTGGGGGGGAAGGCTTCCTGGAGGAGGTGATGTCTGAGCTGATCAGGAGCCAGTGTGAGAGACGATGCTTCTGTTGGATAAAGACAGCCCTGTCCTGGAACAATGTACAGCCAGCAGGGCTGTGACAGTCTGGGTGTTGTGGGCTGTTGGCAGTGCCCCAGGTTTGGAGGGGAGTTGAGCTGGATGGAGGTGAGGGTTTGGGGAGGGTTTGTCCTGGTGGAGACACCAGGTGGAGGGTGGATAGCGCTCACGAGGGGGCTCACGGAGGGTATAGGGAGCAAATGGGGGAGACCAGAGCCCTAACTTCCCTTGTCCTCCTCCACTGTGCCCGTGCCAGGCGCCTTCGCCAAGGTGAAGGAGAGCCAACGCATGAGTGACGAGGGCCGCATGGCACAGGACGAGGCAGATGGCATTCGTAGGCGCTGCCGCGTGGTGGGCTTCGCCCTGCAGGCTGAAATGAACCACTTCCACCAGCGCCGTGAGCTCGACTTCAAGCACATGATGCAGAACTACCTGCGCCAGCAGATCCTCTTCTACCAGCGGGTAGGCCAGCAGCTGGAGAAGACGCTGCGCATGTATGACAACCTCTGATCATGTGTACCTGGCCCCCACCCTGCCCCCGGGCCTGGTCGCCGCAGCACACTCCGCTCTCTTGATCTCCCCACACCAGCAGTGGCTGGGAGGGGATGGGGTGGGCTTTGGAGGAGTCCTGGGTACCCCCGGGGAAGTCTCCCAGCCCTTAGAGGTAGGGGCACAGAAGGGGTGAGAGTGGGGTCAGGAAGCTTCTGGGCTGAGGTCTGGGCTGCTGGTCAGTTGCTTGAGGCCGGGCCACAGTCTTAGCCTCCCCTAGAACCTACAGTACTCGCTCACCTGGCTACCACCCCCTCGTTCATTCAGCAGGCACCAGGGCCTGCTGCAGCTCCGGGTCAGATGCTGGGCACCCGGGACTGCGACATGCCTGCCCTCAGGGAGTCCCCAGTAGAGGTAGGGTCAGACACAGAAACAGATGAGGGCAATGCAGAATGATTGATGGTAAATAAGGGGTTCCTGGGAGCTTAAAGAAAGAACCACTCATTCTGTTGGTCAGGAAAGGCTCCATAGAGTAGGTGATATTTGAGTAGTGTTTTGGAGAATGACAAAGACCTGCCAGACAGTAAATGGGGACAGTAGATGAGAGATGGCGGGGGGGGGGGGGTGGGGGGGACATTCAGAAGAGAGGAATAGCATGGGCAAGGGTGTGGAGGAATGAAAACACCCCCTCCTCCCACCTTTACTTTTCCCAAGTAAGTTTCGTGCCCCCTCGGTGGAGATTCTGGACTGTGTGATGGAGGGGAGGGATCTTCTTCCTCCTGTGTCCCTGTCCCTGCCTCACCTTGTCCCCTCTGGAGGAGCTGCGGGCCAACTCCCTCCTGTCTCCCCTCCACCTGCTGAGCCTCCATTACCCCTTGGCTAGGGGACCATGCAGCATCTTTACCCTGGGCTCAAGGTGCTGAGACAGGCCACTGACCCCAGGACGTTGGTGGCACCTTCCTGGAAAGGACACCCAGAAGTTACCAGATATTTGAGTTCACCAGCAATAGCTCTCCACATTCCGAGCAGGCTCGGGCCCCAGGCTTCCAGGGTCCTCAGACCCAGTGACTCCCGGAACCCTTCCTGTGGCACAGAGGGAAGGCCAAGGGGAAAAAGACGGGCTGGCTTGCCCACTGCCCCAGAAGCCCTGGGCCCGCACGCCCACGGCCAGCCTCACTGTGATGTCAGCCCCAGCTCCCTCCCTGGCCAGGTTGTGCTGTCTCCCACCCGTGTTTACATCCTCCAGGGGGCTACTCCTTCCCCCTAGGCCTGGGCATGGGCCAGCTGTGGGTTGGGGGAACTGATAGGTGCCACTGCTGGCCCCCCCTTGGGAGGTCATGGCCACTCCTGGCTCCTGCTGCTTGAATCTTTTTTCTTTCTTGTTTTCTTGATAAACCTTTTGCAATTAAGATAACAAAAGCATGGCTTTTTTGTTTGGATCCTGCAGGGATTGAGTGTGGGGGAAGGATGGAACCCTAAGTTTCCCTGGGAGCTATTGGATTATAAGGTTATGTTGGGCACAAAACCTCTAAAATTTGGGGGAGGACTGTGCTGGTGGCAGGTGCTGGCTGGGGAGCTAGAGGTGGCCATGGGCCCCAGCCGGACTCACACCCCTCCCAGACCTCACTCTCCTCATCTCTCAAATGGGTGGAGTCCTGCTAGGGTTTGGCTGTGCTCTGTGATTTCAGACTGAGGGTTGCCCGAGGAAGGGATAGGAGGCCATGCCCCACACAATCTAATTGTTCCTCTCCCCAGGGAGGCATGCTCCAGCTTTGCCCTCAGGAAAGCCCTGGTCCAGGAGAGGTGGGAGGGGACTCAGAAATTGTGTCCTTCCCCAAAGAGTCCCGGGTGTCCAGGCCGGGGGTGGCTTCCATGCTGGAAACCAAGGAGGTCCTCCCCAGCGGGGCCCTCAGCGGTGTCCCAGTCAGTATGAGCAGGAATCAATGGGAAGGAGGGCAAGGGGGACTCGGTGGAGGGAGGGCTGGTAGGTTCGGGGCCTCAAGGGAGGCTTTGGCCAGGCCAGGGGCCCAGGGAGCTTGTGGCAGTGAGAGGGGGGTAAGGAATGGCCGGTGCAGTGGGGAAAGGGCAGCAAAAGCTCTCCGCTCAGGGCAGAGCACCCTCTGGCCCTAGGTCAAAATTAGGTCAGATTTGGGACTTTCTGTGGAATTTTCCCCTCCCTCCTCCCTGCCCTCCTTCCTTCATTTTCCAACCCAGCCAAGGACCTTCCCGCCCTCAACCTCTTCGCAGCTTTGACCTCCAAGCAGCCTTCTGTAGAGGGAACTCTGACCACAATGGGGGAGTCTCCTTACTGAGGCCAGTCTGGGTAGGAGTGGTGGGAATTCCTTTCTTAACCCACAGTGCCTGGAAAGTCCCCTGTTTGTGCTTCCTGCCCTGGGAATAGCACGACCCTCTTGTGTCCCTTTCTTCAGAGGGGGAGCCACCTCCCATGCCTCCCAGCCTTAGGGTGAGGGAAGCAGTCTGACATTTTTCTCAGGAGGGGCTTGGACCTAGGAGGAGAGTCCAAATGTGAAGTCTTGGGACTGGCCAGGTCTATGCTGTAGGCGTCCTGAGATCTCTAGGCTGGGGCAGGCCCATGTATAGTGGGGAGTGAGGATGTCACAGCCATTCTCTCTGTTTCTTTATGTCTCTGTGTAGCTTGAGGTATTGGGGGTGGGGTGTGTGTGTGTGTGGCGGGTGGAATTTGAGATGGATTTGGGCTGACTGGAGCCCTTTCAGCAGGGCCCTGGGGGACCGGTAGGGGGGGTGGGGGAGCATCCTGGTGGTGGCAGAGGCTGCTGGCTGGCCTCGGTCACATGCCAGGCAGATGTTCCAGACTGAGCTGGGCCCAACTGCCTCCAATTCCCTCCCTCACTTTGCTCTGAGGGGGTTGGAGAACAAGGCCCCTCTTTCTGCCCTGGGCAGCTATCAGGACCTGGGGTGGGGGTGATGAGCCCTGATCCCTGGTCTTGGCCCAGCCCAGGAAAGGAGTTTGCTTTGTGGCCACATGTGGGGGTTGGGGATGGAGGCAGCCCTCAGATCCTGCATCCTGGCTCCCGGACACACCAGAAGGCCATGAACTGCTATGCCACGGCAGTGCCACGACTGGAGCAGAGCCAAGCCTGCGTGAGGCAGGCCGACAGGTAGTTCCGGATCCAGCTGAGCACCCCTCCTCCTTCCCGTGGCACTGCCATGTAGCCAGCCACATGTCCACGTGGTCGCAGGTATAGTCGCCTAACCCAAAGCAGGTGCAGCCACGTGCAGCCACATACCCTGCCCATAAGCATGTAGGCTACCCCTGGCCATATGTACACGTACGCAGTCATGTGCTCACACAGTTTCACTCCCAGCCACGGTGCCACACGCTGTCACACATTCACAGCCACATCCACACGTGGCCACATCCACACACATGCCATAATCCTTTCACATAGCCATACCCCATCCTCACTCACGGTCACACCGCCGTCCTACCCTCGCAGAGCGACACGCGCAGGTACTCAGACGCACGGCCCCAAGTTGCACACGCTCATAGCAAAGGTGTCACACAGGGAGCTGCTTCTAGACTGCACCTGCACCCCCTGCTGGGAGAGCCAGTGGCATCACCCATTGTACAGACAGGGAACTTGAGGTCTAGCGAGCGGCTGGCCGTGTCACCCACGGGGGCCAGAATGTATTCAAGGGCCTGAGCTTAGCTCCCAGTAGCCCTGCGGCCAAGTCCCCAGGGCCGGTCCCTACTGCCTCCATTACCCGCTGGGTGAACCCACCCAACAAAGCTCCAGGCATCTCCTATCTCTCCAGCCAGAGCTGAGGCTGCAGCGTCCATATGAGCAAGAGCCAGGATGCGGTGGGCAGGGCCCAGGCCTGGGCGGGAGAAACATTCCTGCACCATCTCCTCCCCAAGCCTGCGAAGACTGGGCCCGCCCTGCCTGCCTGCCCGCTGACTCAGGCCTCCTGGAGCCAAGTCTGCTTGTCCCCAGCCCCCCACCAACCTGCTTCCCTACCAGCTCAGCTCCAGCGCGCCTCTGACGGCTGGGGTAGGAGACCATGAGCCCTGGCCAAAAGACCATGGGGAGAACTAAAATTTACCTCCCCCAGACATAGCTCAGAAGGGCTGATTGTGAAACCCAGTCCCAGGGTTCAGGATAGTTTCACACAAAGCCTTTTTCCTTTGGCTTGGTTTTTTGTTAGTCAAACCCTAGTGCAGTCCAGGCTGTTTAGAAAACAGAGTCTCCCATGGCTGTGGCCTCCTTGGTCCTCACAGCAGCCCTGGGAGGCGTCATTATTCCATTTCACAGACGAAGGGACTGAGGCCTGGCCGGAGGGAGGATGGGGCCCGGCTGGGATCACACCCTGAGACCAAGGTGGAGCTGGACTCGAACCCAGCTCTCCAACTTCGTTCCTCAACGTCTTGACTGACTCACTTAGGTCTGAGGGAAAAGGAGCTAGCAGAGCTCCGCTCCACAGGTGAAAGAATGGGAGCTGGCAGACCCAACTGCTGACATGTGATAGGGGCTTGTGGGTAGCGTGAGTCCTGCCAGCCCTCAGGGACGAAGAGGCTACAGTGGCCCTGCACGGTGGCCATGCATTGACCCAGGACCTCCATTTACAGATGAACGTGTGTGAGGAGCATCACTTCATTTCTCTGCAACTGACTGGAATTTCTTTTCTTTTCTTTAAAAAACATTTTTTTTAATGTTTATTTTTGAGAGAGAGAGAGAGAGAGAGAGTGAGTGCAAGTGGGGGAGGGGGCAGAGAGAGAGAGATACACACACAGAATCCAAAGCAGGTTCCAGGCTCCGAGCTGTCAGTACAGAGCCTGACGCTGGGCTCAGACTCCTGAACCAAGAGATCATGACCTGAGCCGAAGTCAGACACTTAACTGACTCAGCCACCCACAGGTGCCCCCAGAATTTCTTTTTTTGTTTTCTCTTTCCCTCACATGATAGAAAAGGAATCTCAAGTCAGTTTGGGGACCCCTCCTTTCTGCTGGGATGCATATAAGTTTTGGGGAATGGCACTTTTCAAGACATGGGCAGGCCTCTGGCACTTTGAATTTTAGAGGCTGAATCCCACACCCTATCACACACATGAAAATTTGCCTGTGTTCCACATTAAAGGTCATTCATTTCTACTTCTTTCAGTTGGGTTCAGTTTGTTACTTGGCAATGTCTTCTTGTCTTATAGGAATAACTGTATTAATTTTGATTTTGTGTTTTTGTGTCCTGCTTTTTTTTTTTTTCCCTGCAAACGCTGTTGTGGGTTCTTGCAGACTCTCCTGGACCATGGCACTGGGCCTGTGGTGCCCACCGTGGTCCTAGATTAGCATCGGACCCTCTGGTCATCTCCTCCACCCACCCTCTGTCTTCCCACCTTGTCCTTTGATCCCCATCAGGAGGCCAATGTGGGTCTGGCCTTTGGTCTGTTTTGAGCACTCAGAGCTCCCTCAATCATCCTTATACCTGTGGACCTCAAGGAACCTCAGGGGGCTGCAAAAGTCCCTTCTGTGGCCTGTGGTCCCCTTTGAGGCTCATGGTCAGCATTCCACACCCCCCACTGTGCACTCAAGCACAAGAAGCTTTGGGAGGCTCTACAGATCCAATGCAACCCTTTGTCATCTGAGGTCTGGCTGCCTCCTTGGGGCTCTACCTGGGAAGAGGTCCAAGCCCCTGCTGCTCCTGGATCTCCCAGCTTCTGGGGCTTCTACCCTCCCCCAGCTCAGGCAGCACCGTGGACACTGGATGGACATATTTCGCAACCACCCTGCATGCAAGAGATTATCAACATCATTTTACAGACCAGGAAATGGGGCCCAGTGAGGGAGGTGCTGGAATAGCCGAGCTGGTGTGAGATGGTAGCCAGGTCTGGGCCACCTGTGCTGGGAAGCCAACGATTGGTGCCTGAGGGAGGAGTTAGCCTCCTGGAGGCACCTGGGGCCTCCTCTGGGCTGACCTGATCCCCCTGGCTGCTATTTTGTCAGGAGTACAACAGGCGGGAGTAGTGTGAAGCTCCACTCCACAGCCCTGCTGCCCCCAGATAGCTACAAGTCCCCTGTTTCCTTTCCCTCCACCAGCCAGAGACAGGATCCTGGTATTGGGTGAGCGGCTGAGCCCTAGAGCAAATCCTACCCTTCATGTCCTTATTCGAGGGATGTTTCTTAATTGCTTCCTGCTTCCATTTCTCTATAACAGGAGTTGCAGATGGCTGTTAGGATTACATGAGCAAAACGCATCAGCTGGACAGTGCCTGCACATAGCAAGTGTCCAGTAAGGAGGGGCTGGGATGACCAGCCTCTGACGAGAGCCTTGAGGGGACCTAGAGAGAGGCTGGGCCAAGAATATTGTTACCTGACTTCATAAGTGAGAGAACTGAGCGAGCCCTCTAAGGCCACACAGTAGGTAGATGGCAGGGCTGGGC